TTCAGTTAGAATAATAAGAAACTGTAGAGTTGTTACCATTCAAATGAAATTAGTATTAAAGGGGTCAAATGATGCGATTTTAATTTTTCCTTTCTCTTTGGAGTGTTACAAGCTCTTGGTGCATAAAGAAGATCTGTAAAGTTGCAAAGACTAAAGTCTCAAATCCAAAGAGATATTCTTTATAAAAGTTAAGAGTCAACCACGCCTTCCTAAAACGCCTCGTTTAAACACGCCCCCACATGTCTACATCACTGTGTGGGAAGATTTGCATAACGCTGCCCAAATGTTCAATGAATAGATAAGATCCCTAAAGTTGAGGAGAAACAATAATGTACAGTATGTGGAAAATAATGTGTTTTTTGAACCTTAAACCGCATAAACACATTTCATTACACCAAATACACAACATAATGTTCTTTTTAGCAACGTCATATGACCCCTTTAATTAAACTGCATTTAATAACCCTAATGCAGGCCTAAAAACATTCAACATAACATCTAAATCATGTTCTGTGATCTGTTGAATTCCTCTTCCTGTCATTCCAATGAAACATCCCGTGTGAATTGCATGTTCTTACGCTGTGAATTGTGCCCGATGCTGTCAGGTGGATGAGCCCACACCCCTGACCCTGCTGGAGGAGGTCACGACGGTGGAGAGCCGGCAGATCGTGGCCATGACGCTGGTCAAGATCTATCTGGGTCAGGGTCTGGTCGTGCCGTTCCTGGACTACCTCAACACCAGAGAGGTCCACAACACCAGTACGTGAGCGTGTGATATGTGTGTTTTCTGTGTGTAGGCGTCGTGACGACTTCAGTCCAGCTATATTTACCCACAGAAGTCATCTGAACTTCTCCTCTCTCATTAATGATGTTTTGTGCTGTGCGAGCGCGTGGGTTGTTCACACTCGGCTGGGGTTTTATGTTGTGTTTGTGATGACAAACAGAGTGCCTGCGTTTCCATAGCAACTCCACAGGAAGCAGCTTCAAAAGGAAACGGAACGATCATAAGATTGGAATGTTCGTCAGCGAGCGACAAAACCGTCGCGCAAGTTACAACTCAAGCAGAAAGAGTTTTAATGCAGCTATATCAGGGTCTTTTCTGTCAGATATGGCATCATGGTTATAGACTTGATTTCAATAGATATAATAAATAATACATTTAATTACTAATTTTGAGTAGTGTTTGTTAAGGCAAGACACCACAGGTGAATAAGGTCCAATTATACTAATAGAGAACCACCATCCTTTCCCTACTTGAGTAATTACAGTACATTAAGACAAACACAAGTTTTCTGAAACGTATGCAAATTAGGCACTGTCTAATTAATTATGCGCTAATTTGCATACATTTCCAGAACAGAAATCTAAACATCGGATACATCCAAAGTCTAATTATTGATTTATTTTGTTGATGTATCAGAATTAAAGGGGAGGGGATTTTGTATTTATATTTTTATCTCTCCATAAATCAGAATATACTGTCAACAGACAGAAAAACATACATTTTAATTTTTACTTACTTTTTAATGCAATAAAAGCATCTGCTAAATGCATAAGTGTAAATGTAAAAATACTGTAGTACTGGGAAAACATCACATTTTATTCAGAACATGCAAAAAAATGTTAGTTATAGATAATAAATAATGAAAAGTACAGTATAATTTTGATAAGACTCAATTTTGCAGATTTATGTATGATTAATCATAAGGCTGCATGATTTAGGGGGAAAAATTTAAATTGCGAGATTTTTGAGAAAAAAATGTGATTGTAATTTAAAATATGATTAAAAAAAGAAAACCAATCAAGTTATGAATTATAAAAATATTAAAATTACTAAATTAAGACTCCTTGGAATGTGTTTTGATAATAATAGTAAAAAAAAAAAAAAATTAAAACAAAGTAATAATAATAATATTGATATAATAAAATATCTGTTAAACTGTAATTTATTTCTGTGATGCGCAGCTGTATTTTCAGCATCATTACTCCAGTCTTCAGTGTCACATGATCTTCAGAAATCATTCTAATATGCTGATTTGCTGCTCGAGAAACATTTCTGATTATTATCAATGTTGAAAACAGTTGTGCTGCTTCTTATTTTTATGGAAACTGATGCATTTTATTTTTCAGGATTCACAGATGAACAGAAAGTTCAAAAGAACAGCATTTATTTGAAATAGAAATCTTTTCTAACATTATAAATATCTTTACTGTCACTTTTGATCAATTTAATGCATCCTTGATTAATAAAAATATTAATTTATAAAATATTTATAAAAAATCTTTTGAACGGTAGTGTATATTCATACATTTTTATGTGACATTTTTATCTGAAACCAATGATAACAATAACCTCAATTCAAGTAATTGTGTAGTAGTTTCTATGAATTGAAGTGCAGAAAACCAAAGAAATGCATGTAAAATGCATGTAGGTTCTGCAGTCAGATTCTCCTGTCTGAAAGCAACGCAGAACACACAGATGTGCGCAAGAATGTCGTGTTCGCTTGCTAAAAAATGTCTCAAAAGAAGCGGGGGATTCACTAAGAATGAGATGAGATTCACTGAAGGAATTATCAAATCAAGAAACGACTCAAACATGGCAACAAAATGAGCACTGATCACAATTTGCACGGCGCAGTTGTTCCTATTTATAAGAAAATGAGCGAGAGGGACCATTTAGATGCACGGTTAAAAAAACACTAAAAAGTCTTTTAAATAAACATCCTTACTGTCTGCTTTCAGCGGTGTTAATAGCACTGGAGTTTTACTATAACGAGCCTCATTTGCATAGAAAGTAAGCGTCTTTGATCAGAAAAAATCACAATGACTTCGCACTGATGCAGCCGGGTAATATCTGCGCATCTGAAACCACGCTCTCTCTCCAGACGAATCTCGTTTAAAGGCTCGGCGTCGGAGGCCGAGGTCAGGGAGAGCAGCGTGGGGCTCCTGCAGACGTATCTGAGCAGCATCATGGAGGCCATCGTCAGCTCTGTCTCCCAGTGTCCTCCTGTGATGAGAGTCGTCTTCAAACAGCTCCATAAACGCGTGGAGGAACAGTTTCCAGAAGCCGAGAACGAGGTGAGGATCTGATCAGACCCTCACAGTGATGATGATGATGGTGGTGGTGTGGTTTTCCTCACGGTTTGTCTCTTGTAGGATGTGAAGTATTTGGCCATCAGCGGCTTTTTCTTCCTGCGTCTGTTTGCTCCTGCGATTCTGACGCCCAAACTCTTCCAGCTGAGAGACCATCACGCCGACACCAGGACCAGCAGAACTCTGCTGCTGCTCGCTAAGGTACATTCACATCACAAAATCAGCTTTATATTAATAAAATGTGCAATTGTCCATTAAATGCTCTCTTTAATGAAATTGCACTCCCAGTAAATTATTTAAAAAAAACACCTTCCACCGATCTAACACTACCTTGAAATGCACCTGGGAAGCTCCTACTTTCGAGTTGGGCATTCATTACTATGACATGTCATGCATTCATGTTGGAAAAGTCATAGTTTTTATTATTTTCTATTTTGTTTATTTTACTTTTTTTTTTTTTACATATAAGTTTCATTTCAATTATTTATGCACGCATTCATGTTGGAAAAATCATATTTTTTATTTTCTATATTGCTTATTTTACATTTAATATTTTATATAACTTTAATTTAAATTATTTATGCATGCATTCATGTTGGAAAA